CTCTATGATGGTCGCATGATGATGAAATCGCCAAATGACGCAGTTCTTAGAATGCATCCCTGTTGTTAAGAGACCCACGACTGTATTTTAACTGAGAGTTCACTATATGTCTACGCAGATCAGTTTAGGTAGGAAAAAGCAGATTTCGAAAAATTGCTATGATATTATATAGTTTTCCAATCTCAGATCGCATTGTCGACTATATATATTTTTTTCAGACAAGTTCTAATTACTGTTGTGTAAACAAATCTAACAGGGGTCTCTAAAACACATTTTCATGGTGTGGCACGGCTAGCATTGGCAACACATATTTATTGAGAACCAGCTTGTACCAGTGGACAACGTGAATGAAGCCCAGTCTTGCAGAGTCTAGTGCTGGGTTTCTCAACCTTGGCACTATGGACATTTTGGGCCAAATAATTCTTTGGTGTTCTGTATATTGTAGGATATTCAGAAGCATCCCTCTACCCACTAGATACAGTTGCAACCCTAAGCTGTGACAACCAAAAGTGTGCTGGGGGCCAAAATCCCCCATATGATATATATTACATTATATAAGGCAGTTATGATAATATGGCACTTAGTAACTGGCTAGTTAAAAGCAATAAAAGCCAAAAGTGTTTTAGAAGAGGGAGAGTTCAAAGTTGGCTTTCTAGATCATGGAAGACCCAAACCTCTTCTAAGGTATAAAGGTTTTTCTGGCTGAGACTGGCTGGGAAAGACCAGGGCAGGTAGGAGTTACAGAAAAACAAAAGGTTGGAGAGAAAAAATGGAAGAAAAAGAATGTTAATAGGGGAGGGGCTTAAATTTCCCCTTGGTGTCTTCCTTCTTACTGTTCACCATGTTGCCTCTAAGTACATTATTACATTACCTATGTAAATACGAGATAAAGTGCTCTGAATGTGGCACAAGTAGATTTTTTTTTGCCAAATGAGGAAAGAGAAATGAGGAAAGCTGGTGAAAATTTATTTTAGTCACTCAAAAAGAAAAGATTTTGGAAAAAGACTTTAGATAGGCAGAAGGTGAAGGAATTAGAACTCTAAAAAGTATTTTCCCTTTCCTGCATTAGAGTCACCATGCCTCAGGGGTGCCTCCCCCAGGGGCGGGGATGAAGACACTGTAGCATTTTCCTGGTCTTTGTCCCACCCCTAACCCTGTCTTGCAACCTATGTAGCTTTTGAAGCTCTTCCGTACACATCATTTGATGATGCTGTGGACTTTTTAATGATAAATCTACTCCATTAGGCGGTTTCTTCCTGACTTCCTATTTGGACCTCATTTGTGTTGTGACCCCAAGAAACTAGAGATTCAATAAAGCAGGGTCAAATTCCGGATCAAGGAGCCTCTAGTATATCTAGTGAGCTTGACATAACATGAAAGAGATAGACTTTGCGAAAGTCCCTCTTGCTTCCTTTCTCCTTCACCTCCTTGGTTTCTTTGTGTAGATTTGTATTTTATAGATGAGGAACGACATCCCTACTGTGGCCTCGGTGACTGCCTCATGATATGCGCACATGTCCAGATAGGCTTGATACCCTATGAACCTGTGGCTGCTCTGTTCTTAAAGAACTTAGTTCCCCAAATTTCAGATCCATTTGGATTCCCCTCAAAAAGGCACCATCAATGTTTGATATGTACAAGCACATTGTGAGTAAAGTTTCAGACATAGTTTAAATACTATTGGCTTCCCTCTTCCCATCTTCTGACCAGTTTCTTCCTTTTCTCTATATGCCACAGAAAAACCAATCCAATGTTGATTAAAATCTGGAAATTAATTTGACTCCATTCAATAAGGAATATGGAACCTATTACGGTCATTTTCACCAAGAGGGTCAAACTAAATTCATATTTTGATAATAAATATATTTCTTTGTAAGAGGTGTTTCATGAAAAAAAGCCAAAAACCAAAACCCAAAAAACATGACATATGCCCAACAGTCAAGGGTGGAAAACAAGACACACCTGTCACATAGGACATTTAAATGAAAATGGTGAAATAAAAACAGGAGTCTGCGTTTCCTGAAAAATCTTCATTCTGTGAATGACAGGTGCTAGCTGGAATGGGCCATTCATGAATCACAGATGAGATACTGCTCACTTTCATTTAAAGAAAGTAATATAATTATTATTTTTGGGTCATAATCAACACTTAACTCAGTGCAGATCTTCACTAGTATTTGTTCAAATTCATTCCAAACAATGTTTGGAAATAGAAATTCCAATGTATTTTATTTGTCACAAAGTCAAATGGGCACCATACAGGGGACCCGTCATTCTGTTCTCATGAAAAGCATCCTTGAAACTCACTGTAAGTGGGTTTCCTGATTTCAATGCAAATGAGTAACAATGTTAATACTCTAACATTCATGTTCTAAACAGGAACCTAAACTGTTATAATTCTTATTCACACATTAATCTTTCAGAAAACAAATGTTGCAGCAGTCAAATTTGAGTGAAGCTTTTTTTTTCTCTTTAAGATGACATTCTCAGTACTATTTGATGCATTGATTGGTGTCAGTCAACATGCCTCACCAATAAGCTGATGGGTACACTTCACAGATATTCCAGATTCATACAGTGTAATGTTTCACAACACATAACACCATGAAATCACTGTATGAATCCAAGAATTCCTACCTCTCTTGTGGTTTGCAACTTGAACAGAAGAAACTGTTGACAAAGCTAATTTGGGAGCAACTGGATAGGTTTAAAAGAATGAACAGCACATTAGAAACAATAGCGAAACGTTCAAATTGTAATAACTTATCATCAACTCACTTGAAAAATAGCCTAAATGAAGAGACTATTTGTATCTATCATTTCTGGGAGTTTGTTTCAATCATAAAGAAATTCTTGTATTTGGCTGAAAATGTTAACACTGTCAGTAATAAAGTTTAGAAGCTTTCTTTTCAGAGGCAAAAAGTATTACCATTTAAATCAAGAATCCAGTTACGCAAGGATTATTTCAGTAACAATATGGATATTAGGATTCCCTGTTGTCCTTCTCTTAAAATATAGTTGTGTTGTTGAGGTACTTGGGAATATCATTGCCTCAGTTCATCACGTCATTCTCTTTGTGTAACTGTAAGCTTGTCTATATATAAACCAGTTAGACTATTTTTGTTGAATGAATTAGACGTCACAGAACATGGTCACAATGGCCAACCATTCAGTGGCATCTGGATCTCAGTCTCAGGGTCACCTCGAATCGGTCTACCTTTCAAAAATGTTGTCGTCTTCTCAACATTTATTACCTTTGCGATGATGTCAGTTTGTTAATGGCAAGGATTTCTCTCTAAGTTTGCCTGCCATTTCTTTTCCACTTATCCATGAAGAGTTGCTTGTGAAAACAGCAAAAGCAGGATAGAGACTGATGTTCTTTGCAGATGTTGACAAGATAAATTATGGCTGCACAGAACTGGCCTCTGCTAGAAAGTGCACCTTTAGCTAAAATCGTTAAGTTCAAGCATTTTATTCAACTGTACTGCTTCTCAAATGAATTCATTTGAACTCATTATCCACATTCTAAAAAAGTACAACTGGCATTAACTAAAGATATTTCTGAAAGTTTAGTCCTGTGACACTCACAGAAAACATAGCAAAATAATTAAATGGGTCTGTTTCAGGTTCTGAACAATGCATAATCTTGTTCATCTCAAAACTCACTGTGGAGAAGTGTTAAGTCTTAGATCCTGTCTTGTATAATTTGTTGAGCTATGAAATTCAATGGGAAAGACTGAGTGACATTTCACTGAAGATGCTCTCCTTGAACTTGCCAAGGAATAAAGCCACTAAACCTCTCCCGAATCCTCATAGAATTATACTAATAGAGGGGAGCTTGATCTGTATTTCTTCTTCCACATATGTATGCAGAAAATTGAAAAAATTCATTTGGAGCAGATGATTAAGATAATTCTATTTGCTAGTAATATATGTATCTAGGACAGTCTTGATTTCATCACTCTGATCAAGGACTCAAAATGCAGCCCTTCCAATTTGACTCCTCAACAAATTGCTAATATATTTTGTTTTGCTTAGCAGCTATTTCCTGGTTCCTCTTTTTGCTCGTTTCCTTCTCCATCTGTATTCATTAGTTTCAAAGGAACATCCTGTATGTAACGAAGCAAGGTAGAAGCCAAAGATGTTCCTTTCTTTTTTTTGAGAAGGAAGAAGGCAAAAGAATTTTCTATTAAAATAAACTCCTATTTACACATGTCTATGTATATCTATAGGCTAGATGTTAATGTGAATTTGACATTACACTGCATGTTATGAATTTTATTGCTCAGTCTTTAAAAGTTCTATTTCTTTCTGTGTAATCACGCTGCTGTCTGTCAGTCTGTCTCTTTTAGTTATTTATTTATTTTTGATGTTAGAAGTCAGGAAATACTGCTCCAAGGACAGACAGAAAACAGGTTGCTCTTAATGTTGGTAGAAATGATTACTAATTCATAAAGGATTAAAAAAGGGAAAGCCCCAACAGAGAAAATATATTGTGATGTGGAAGAGAGTGAAAGAGGGAGAGAGATCCAAATTTCTGCCAGTCGATATGGAGCCACAGTGAAAGAAAACAGATCTCTTGGGGGTTGCAATACTGCCTTGAGGTATTCTTCTTGACCCTCAACACAACTGACATACCAGTCAATTTACTCAAAAGGGAGATGGCAGAAGGACACCTGTGTCACCCACAAGCATTTAAGACTCATATATACTCCACACTGTGATGGCAACAGAACTCTAGGCTTCTCTTGGGACTGATTGACATTCAAAGTAAATTTGATAAAGTGCTTCTGACTTCCATGCCATCTAATTTTTGCCTACATCTTTCACTATAATATTTCTGGGATAGTTTTCATATTAGAAAAAATATTCAAATTATGATTCTTTCAAAGACATGGCATTCATGATAATGCTCTTACTTAGTGTTAAGAAATAACATATGGGATTTTCCCCCTAACCACGTGGGATTTTTTATCAGTAGGAATTTTCCACGTTCCTACCTTGTTTTGGTTTAGAAACCTCAAGGGAAGAAATATTCGGCCATATCCTATTAAACTTTGGAGGATCTGCATGCATCGGGAAAAATCAGGGTTTGTTATTTTCAGCTATAATGTCATTTGGTCTAAACAGAAAATTATATGGACAAAGACACAAACCACACATCTGCTCTGTACCTTGGCTATGATGCACTTAACAAAACATGACTCCCGCACCAAACAAGAGCAAGCAATTGATGATTCCCAAAACATTGAATGGACATTAAATATATAGCCTCTTCCCTAACAAAGCTGTACACATTTACTTTTGCAATAAAGTAGAGTGTTCTTACAAATAACCAAATAAGGACTTCAGCAGTTCAAACCATTATATAAAGCTGGTGCCTGAAACTAGAAGATAACACGAAAGAAATAATTTCTCACTTGAGGATTCCATTCTCTGCAATTTATATTTACAGATATGAACTGGTTGCATTAGTCTTTTGTGAGAGATTCTTTGGGGTATGTTTTAAGTGTGAGCCATTATCTCTGCAAAGAAGTGGATTTATTTCCTGTTTTTATTTATGCAATTTCTCAGAGAAAGAAAGAGAGGGATTACTGGTGATTCTGGCTTAAGGAGAATAGTTTCAGATGCTTCTGCTCATATCTAAGGTTTGTATGTATGGGTATGTGCATGTTTTCATGATGTTTTTACCTCAAAATATGTTTCTAGAGTTATTAGTTCCAATCCAGAAATAATTATAAGCATGGTTAATTTAAGAATTGATGTTATTTCCTTCTTAGATTCACCAGTATAAAAAAATGACTCTGGAAAAGCAAGAGGAAGGCACATTTAGGACTGGATGCTTTAAAACTATTTTTGCTAAGGTGCACAGGCCATAACAGCCAAAGTAGTCATTTCATGACTCAATCTACCCCCACTGAGATCAGCTCAAAACCACATCTCCTGTGTGGTCCTTTGGGACCACCGAAGCCTGCAAGGAGGTCTAGCCTCCTGTAGCATGTTACTCTCCCTGCTCCTGATTTCTCATTGATACGTAGATAGGGGTAAGTTTTAATATTGCTAGTTTAAATTTCATAGGTCTATTTCTCGTCTGTGTAATTAGATTGGATCTCTTTGAGGAGGGGCAAAGCCTTCCAGAAGGCCTCAGTAAATATCTAATAATTGAGTAATTGATATCAAGTGGCTAGGCTAGTGTAAACAGGTATTATCAGATTGTTTTCTCCATAATTAGATTATAGTGAATAACATTCTTGCGAGACATGGAACTTTCACTAGATTTTGGTTTTTTAATATTTGTTAGAAAAGTTGATCCACTGTTTCTGTGTGTATACACACAAAAGCAGAGTAAATCTTATTGATTTGCTATATCTGTTAAAATTTGTGAATGAAAAAAGAATGTGATGATTTTCCACATCTGTATCCAAATGTTACTAAATAAATATTTATTTGGTAACATGCAGGCAAAGTATGCGAGTTATTGACTGAACATTGCTTTTCACTTGAGCATCTTGGTAATGAGTAGATATTGAATTGACAGAATAAACCTACTTGAACTGTGATAATCACTTTTGAAAAACTATAAATTTTCATTTTAAGGGAAATAATATCATTTCCAGAAATTGTTTACTTAGAAAAATTTCATACTATTGTTATTGTTTTATATGGAAAATATATTTATATTATTAGCATCAAATTAAGAAAATTTTAGTTTGTTGAAATGGTTCTGTCCATTTTTTTCCTGTAGGAGAAGCAAATACAGGTCAGAAGTGGAGGTGATATTTGTAAATTTAATGTTAATTATGCAGTGACTTGTTTATCTTGATGAAATAAAAGTAATAATATGGTTATTTTGTTAATAAGCTTTGCCAAGAAATTTAAGTAAGGACAAATTTTCTTTCTTTTTCTTTTTCTTTTTTTGTGAGGAAGATTGGCTCTGAGCTAACATCTATTGCCAATCCTCCTCTTTTTGGTGAGGAAGATTAGCCCTGAGCTAACATTTGTGCCCATCTTCCTCTATTTTGTATATGGGACACTGCCACACATGGCTTGATGAGCAGTGTGTAGGTCCACACCTGGGAATTGAATCTGTGATCCCTGGGCCACCAAAGCAGAGCACATGAACTTAAATTAACTGCTATGGCACTGGGCCAGCCCCCAAAATTTTATACTAAATGTGGAAGTGAGTTTTGAAAATTAACTTCATAAATTAAACTTTATTTCATATTCCAATATATTAAATACTTGTTAATGCATATATTTTAGTATATTCTTCTCTCAGTGTTTTATGATTTTTCCCCAGGATGCTGAGGTTCCATTTTAAGGATCTTCTTATATGTATAAAAAATTAATGTAGGTCATTCTACTTTTGCATTGTTAACTACTTGACTTGTGTGGAATTACCAAGATAGACACCTCAGTCACAATCTGATCCCTACCTAGAATATAATTTTCTTCTGTATTGTGTACTTAAGATAGTTTTCTGGATGAGGGGGGAGGGTAGCCCTTGTATTTGCCTGGGAATATAATTAGACATTTTTTTCCAAATAATTTTCATTATGTGGGATTCCTAACCTTCCTGAACAATTAAAACTCAGAACCACCAGCAGTCATCTTGAAGAAATCCTAGTCTAATCTAGACATATCTCCAGTGGGATGAAATTTTATGTACTATGTCTTTTCCTTGGGAGGAAAAATGTCCTACAAAAAAAGATATTGAAATTTATGGACCCTAAATTACTATAGCATGTGTCTGTGCATACATGTTTTAATATTTGGCCATCATGAGATTTTTAATTTAATATCTCATCTTAATTATTTAAAAATTTATTATTTTTTTAATTAGAAGGCCGAGTAAGAAAACAACTTAAAATTAGCCAGTAACTCTCTAGTTACTCTAAGATCCTGGCACATATAAATAGTCAATCAATATTAATAACTAATGTTTAATTCCCAGAAGTAAATTAGGCACACTGGAGGCTACATTAATGGTATAATTGAGACAAAGTCTATGTAATCCAATATCCAATTCTAATGAAAGTCTTTGTATAACATGAAGCCTCTGAGAATTTTTAGCCAGTTGGTCACTTGTTTTGAGTGGTTAGAGATTGCAAATAGAAAAATAAATTATCATACATCAAAAGATTTTGTATTGTCTCTTTGGGTGAACTTTTGCAGAATTTATTAATTTTGTTCTTTCATGAATTAACCAAGGAATATCTTTGGGTCAATATGAAGGTCTCAGAGTGATAATTTGCTGCAAGGCAAAGGGCACTGGGAGTCAGAAGATAAGGCTTCTGGTCCCAGTACTACTGAAGGGCTGTTTGGCTGTTAATTTCTTTGGACTTTGGTTTGCTTATCTGTAAGATAAAGGTGCCGGACTAAAAGATCTCTAAGATTTCTGTCAGGTGTTATGTTCCATCTCTCCAGTGGTTCTCTTATGGCCTAGCAGGGTCATACCAAAGTTCACGGAAAGATGAGGACTTTTGGGATGAGGGACATGCTCTTTGAAAAATCTAGGGGATTAAGAGTTCCTTGTGTGAAGGGAAAATTATGGCTGCATGATTTGATTGTGGACCTTTCGACTGTCACAGTGAAACCCAAACTGGAGTTGAGAAACTATTATTGGGGTGAGGGGAGGGGTCATCATATATGTCCAATGGGATTGCAGATGGCCAATCATTCAAGAACAGCCCTTTATGGAAGTCCCTTCTTCTTAAGGATCTTGGCCCCATACACCTGGGAAAATGGGCTGAACTCATCTTGATGATTTCTTAGACTGGACTCCAAAGACTTGGGCTCTGGAGTATGGAGACTGCAATCACATATTCCACAACTGTCTCCTTTAAAAAGAATCACAATATCTGAAATGCCCATCAGATGCTATTACTCTACTGTCATTGTTGAATTTTCAAATTACATCTATGGGAAGCCTATAAAATATCTATTTAGGGGAACTTTATTTAACATCTGATGCATGTAAATAGAACCTGAGCTGGATTTGAATCCCAATTCTATCACATTGACAAGTTCCTCAACTTCTCTGTGTCTAAGCTTTCTCATCCGTAAAATGGGAATGATGACACTACCTGCTGGTTGTTGTCAAGATTAAATGAGTTAATATTTGCTTGTCATTGTAATGAGCATTCAGTATATGTTAGCTTTTATTATTCTATTTGTGGTTGCTGTTGTAATAAAAATCAGATTACTGCAGTATAAATAGCTCTTACTGAACTGAAGTAGAGAAAATAATGTGCTCCCCCTATTTTTTGCAATCTTAATTTTTCCCAAAGTGAGTGATTGTGATATGTAAAAAAGCTCACTTAAAATATAGCTTACTTTAGGGAATAAATCCCTACATCAATTAATACTGTTGTTCAGAAAGTGATAGAAATTATTTTGAAATACTGTGGGAAAGATTTGATTTTTAACATCTAAAGATGTTAATTTCCAGGTTTTTTTCAGATTAGAAGCATATTAGTTTAGACTATGAATCAAATTAGTATCTAATCTGAAATTGGTTTTCATTAAGAAAAGAACTCAGAAAACTGTTACGTGACAACTGGTTGTGGCACTTGAAATTCATTTTCATAAATCAGGAAAACTGAGATTCTAGATAGAAAAATGAGGCTTTCAGAGGCAGCTTTTTTCCTCTGTGCCCCAAGGAAAACTCTCTGCACTCTAAGTTGGAAAGAACTATGTTATAATTGCTAAACTTGACCGTCTATTGCTGACACCATAGTATATCTAGTTGAAAAGCAAGCTTGAAACAAAAGGCTAAAAACATTTTATTTGCATTGAGAAAGCTTTAGTGGTAAGGTTGTTTTAGAATATTAAGTTGTCTTCTATCATACATGGCATTCACTTAGCATGAATCATAGGCAGCTTTCAACTCACTTTGTGGACACCCTTTAAAAACAGAGTAACTTGTGACCACACTTTCCCATTTTTTTTCCCTAGAATAGTCTATCATGTAGTATCTCATACTTTAGAAATTTAATTAAATGAGAAGGCGAATTCTAACGTTGTGGCAGAATGTAAAGAGTGCTAGTTTGGAAACTGAACATTG